AGAGAGAGAGAGAGAGAGAGAGAGAGAGAGAGAGAGAGAGAGAGAGAGAGAGAGAGGAGGGGAGTGTGTGTGTGTGTGTGTGTGTGAGAGCTACAAGCTATATAATTATACGGCGGTAACAACGATGTCCTCGGCCTGCACGACTGAAAAATACCTGCGCCTATGAGTCTCTTCGTGGCGATGTGCAGTTTTTGCCGCACGGCGGCGCTGCTGCCATCTGCCAGCCGCTCGCTGAGCGCGGACATCTCTGCAGCTGCCAGGCCGTCAGCGACAGCCTCCATGTTGTCTAACTCTATACGCTGCTGCGACACCAGCGCCCCCATGTCCCGCATATACGTGACGACATCTACAAAGCCGAACGTGTGTACATGGTTAGCTCGCACACCGTGGTCATGTTTATTAACTTCGTATTATCAACGTGTCTTAGGTTGAATGGGAACACCATGTTTATTAACGTTGTATTTATTATCAATATGTCTGAGATTGAATGGAGCAACATAATGAGTTTCAAGGAGATCGACTCTGCGTGCGGTAAAAGACAAGTACAGACACCACTTACCTAATGTGCCATCGCAAAGTTCTGGCTCCTGTTTGCTCTTAAAGTTTTCCACTTCCTTCTCGTGATCTTCGGCCTGAGATTAAATTGGTTGAACAGAGCTTATATCGTTAACATCAAGTTGTTCATTGTGAATACGAGTCCCAGTGCCACGTAGGGACTGCAATATGAACACACAATAACTGGAATTCTCCTTTTACGTTACCGATAAATTAATGTCATCAACTTAAAAGTAAGCGTTCAGTCTACGCACAGTTGCTTTCTTTAATTTAAACTTGATGAACGGCCACTAATATCGCCCGATGTATGTTTCTACATACACGTGAGAATACGGACGCATATGCGTGAGTATATGCTGTGCATGCTTGTCTATTACCTTTTCATGCAATCGTTGCTTCTTGAGATCGCTTAGCTTGGCGTGTAACTCCAGCTGTTGGCGCGTTCGCTCATCTGCCACGCGTACTTCAATAGCAGTCACGTCTGCGTGCATCTGCGCTATCACAGCGCGGGCCGTCTCCCTGTCCGGCCCATCCTCTCTGAAACATGGGTCAGCCGTGAGAATAACGTTTCTCTTATTATATATGGAGTTTGCCCTAATAATGTCAGACATGATACGCAATACAACTGTAATATCTAACACGTAACACGTAATACGTGTTCGCCGACGATTATGATAACGGTGTATGGGGTGCAGGTAAATGTTGGAAATATATATATATATATATATATATATATATATATATATCATTATAATATGAAAATAATCTAATATTTGGATAGCCATAATATGAAAAAGAGCAGGACCTGAAAAACAAATCAAAACGTATAATTTACCATTAAGTATTTTATTTTATCGATTGTTAGTCGTAGTTCTCATTACGTAATTATTTTGTGCACTGGTGTGAATTAGAGCATCACAAGCCGATTAAACATATGTCCGTGGTAGACTCATCTCGCAGGGAATGTTTTATGCGCGTATACCTTCTCAAGCTCTGCGTCCAGGTTGCGTGGCGGCTCGCAGAACAGGGCCAGGGTCTCCTGAGATGTTTTCCTTATCTCAGCAGCCTGCGTTCCCGCATCAGACTTTTTGCCATTGAGACCGATCTCATCGTTCTGAAAGTTAAACAAAAGACAACGGTGAAACGATGTATACGGCAAGTTGAAAATGTCATGTCCAGTAGCCCGAGTCTCTACGTCTATAATTCCTTGGTTATGAATGTCCATCTTGTTCAGTACTCATAGGGTTCTTGTTTGCTACGCTAAAACACATGCATGCTAAAAAAATATCCGTGGAATTTCAACATCATTAAATGTCAAGATAGGTAAGCAAAATTGCATAGTGCATTATGTTGCCGTGTACGCGTTTGTGTTAGCGCTTATCATTAACCTTTGCTATTTTTTGCTCTAATTTCTCCAGTAGATGGCGCCTCCTTGTGGCTAGGTTCTCGGCAAGTATTTGCTTCTGACGTAGCCGCTCTGTCGTGAGGCGTCGCTGTAGCTGCACCACGTGCCGCTCGTATTCCGCCATGATCCTGTCTCTCTCCTCGTCCGACAGCGAAGTCTGTGACGTAATCAACTTTCTGCTCCATTCGAACATACACGGCAGAGATTACATATGTCATATCGGTTTCGAATTCGCATCAAGATGGCCAACTATATTCATGGTCCAGTCTTCAAGACAGTTTTCGTATGAGACTTAAGACGTTTTTATGGTAAAGGTACTGCTGATACTAGCATGACCGATGTGATGGCGTCATTGGGGAGGTAGTCACCTGAGAAGACGAGGTTCCTCTCTCCTCAAGTGCTCCTGGTGCCTTAACTCCTCCTCTTCTCTGTGTCGCAGGACTGTTGCCCTCTTCTCCTCTCGCTGTATTTGCGCTTCATTAAGCCTTTGCTTCTCTGCTGCCTGACCCTGTCTCAGCTGTTCTAGCTCTCTGCTAATCTGCTTCTCCAGTTCTTCTATTTGTTCCTCAGACATGCCTAAATGAAAACGGTTACAATGAGATTGATGGGTTGATTCATCACTGTTGATACATAGTCAGTCGCTCAACTAACTTATGCGTAGCCTTGGTTTTTGAACGACGTGAGATAGTGGCCGAGATGGCTACGGATATTTTTATTTCAAATTCATTTTTATTTCAAATTCA